AATCTCTAATTCCAGAATGGGGTTATCGTAAATTTACAGAGTATTGTAAATAGTTTTCAAAAAAGATCAAGGAAGACAAGTGATATAAGTCCTCCTCCACGTGAAGCTGGAAGATTAAGCAAGAAAATAGTGCAAATTTCTAAAAACATTTCTTTAGATTAACTATGCCAACATACTATATTTGTATTTTATTTTTCTTATATTAATAAAGTGCCCTGGTGGCTGATTATTTTTACATATTCATCTGTATTTTTTTTTTCTTGGCAAAAGTGATTGGCGTTACAATTTGTAACGCGCACGTGATTTTTTTCTTGAAAAGCTCACTTTATTTTATAAATTGTTGCCGAAACAACATACAAGTAAAAAATAGGCCTTAGCCACAGAGAATATAATTATTATGTTGACCTCTAAATCATTAAACAGCCATTAATTCCCTAATATCTTCTTTAGTTGTATTAATATCGAAAGAAAGGTGATCAATGTCAATGATGACTGTGTTCATCATTTTATTAAGCTTTTCTAATTGCCTTTTATTATTTTCACAGAATTTTTCGAATTCGGTGGCAGTTATGACTTCAATGGACGCAAGGGTATTTCTATTCAGTTGTTGAAAGTAATTGAATAAGGGTATGATACAAGAAAGTCAGTTATTATATTTACAAACTAACCTTGTTTTTCTTTGAGTCTCTCAACTAACTCTATGATCCTTTCTGCAGGACCAGGTTTGAATTCATAAGGACCATTTTTACAGGTAAGTTTTTCTTCAGTTAATTTAAGAAAAAGCCATCCATCGACGTCTTGACCTAGTAACTTATTAATAGCATCCTCTTTAAAATGCGAACTCTTCATATGCTTCTCAAGATATTTTCTAATATGCTCTGGAGACTACTCCATAATGTTAATGGGAGCTTTGTCAGTCATCATTGGATTACCCATTTTTTTTCGAAATAATATATATACAAAATTAATAAACGTGACATTATCGCATCGATCACAAAAAGAATAGTATAAATACGATTCAAAATAGAAAATTAACCTTTTTTTGTTAAACAATCGGCAATAGGTAATCTTTATAAAAAAGTCATGTCAATCTGGATGTGATAATTCGCCAACTAACCTAAACTAGTACCACATAATTTGACAAGCTAATAAAGTTTCACCCAATAGTTTTTTTTTTCACCAAAAATGAAAAAAAAAGAAAGTCTATAAATTCGAAAAAAAATAAATTGTTATTTGTATTACTGTTTCAATAAACGCGACCCTGGTGGTCAATTTTGTATATGATAAATATTTAATTATATTTTTTCGTGTGGGAATACACTGGATAATAAAAAATTTCTTGACAAATTTCAGCCGGAACACTTCTGCCAAAATTACGTGAACTTTTATTTTTGGTCCTAGTGAGACTGATTCATTGAAACGATGCATTGCCAAGCTTGAAGTTGAGAATGTCCGAAAATGTTAAGCTTAAGGTCAGAATTGTAAAATTGGAAGATAAGCAATTGCAAAACGAATTAATAAAAAATTTATTATCTGTACTGCGAAAAACGTGATCCTGTATTAATGCTGGCCAGCAAAAGTGATTGGCATTAAAAATTATAATGCACACGTGATTTGATCAGAGTTTTCTAGCAGATCTCTCGCGACATTGATGCGTATGACTATATTCTTGTAAAATTTCTGAATCCATAAAATTCTCAAAATTTTTTTATTATCTATAAGAAATGACTGGTATACTAACACCATCTTTTTACGTATATTACTCAAAGCAACTTAACCAGCTTTCTCGTTCTATCAAAATATATACATAGCGATGTCTTACTTCACGAAAACATCCATTATCAATAGAACAGGCAAGTAGTATCCATCCTGAAGTGGAAGATTTGTTAAATAAGACGGTTGAAAATTATATTAAGTAAAAAAAGCGTCAGAAGATGAAGCCTATTACTAGTGATTGTGAAACTTCGTTAAGATGAGAAAATGAGGAGTTGTGTATATTAAAACAGGCATTGGAAAAAAAGATTAAAGAGCTTCTCGATTTGCAAGAGCAGTATACGTCTCGTGAGGTAGCCATGATCAGGTCTTTGGAGGAGAGTGGCGGGAAAGTCACCCAATTATCAGATTTGGTAGCTTTCTTCAAAGTATAATTCCTGATACGAAAAAAGCTATTGCATCAGCTGAAAAGTCTATTGACCTGTTAAAGAATAGATGCTGGAATCTGAAGGATATTATTTCTGTTAAAGATAGAAAAATTATCACTCTTGTTGATCAGATTCTTTCCAAAACGAAGTATAATGATGTGACTATAGAACTGGAAATATATTCTAGCACTCATAAAAGAAAATTATGGGCGAAGAGGCGTAGTGAATCTGAACATGATCTAGAAACCCAGAATAAATATACATTTTGACCTACACATTCGCATAGTCTATGATTAAGATTCAATATCATTTTTTTCAAAAATTTGATCCCATCCTTTTCAAATTCTGTGAGGATGGTTTGGAGGCATTGTTAAATCAAAAACAATAAAATTGCGATCAGTCAAATAGTTAACGACATCTTTATATATGCTACGCCAATCATAAGCATATAAGCAGAGAATTCTGCTTAATTCTTCTGAAGTGGATCTATTAAAGAGTACAACATAATTTAAGTTTTTTCTTATCAATTTCAGACAGTCAAAAAAACTCTGTGAGATGTATATACTACTAATATTTCTGTGGCGACTTTCAGTAAAATAATGAGCAATCTTCTCCTGGACTTTCTTTGAATCAGTATATACATCTTCAAATATAGCCACTGTACCTCTTTCTGGAGAGAATGAATCTAGCTTTGGGATTTTATAGGCTTCATAGCCCGAAATGAGATATCTTCACGATATTGTTTTAGGCTACTTGCGATTATCTGATATGCTGATTTGAGATACCTATATTTTAGCTCGTTGAGATGATGTCTAATAAGCACCAAATCATCATTCCAGATATATCTAGTCCCTCCCTTTTTCCTGTTAAACATTCGATATAGTTTGTTTCCCAATAATAGGTTCACGACTTCGTTAGTTTTTTTTGAATTAGTACGGCCAGTGATTAATACTGTAAAGGGCCATTGAGGAGTTGAGTTTAATCCATTAAATCTTTTCGCATC